CGGTGCTGATGGTTTCGGTTGTGTTTTCGAAACCGAGGCCCGGTTTTGGGTCAGTTTCGTTTACCGTGTAAACGAAATGAAAACTTTACACGGTGTGCACCATTTGTTCACACATGTTGCGATTTTGAGGACCGTACATGTGTGTACCGGTTGGTTTTCTTGTCCACCACTGCCACTAAGACGCCCACACTGCTTCTTGACCCCAAACTCGGCCTACGGATTATAAACTCGGCCTAACGTATTGAAACGCAATTGAATTCACTTCGGCCTGATGAAGATAAAAATTGATTCGATTTGATTTTGAAAATAATGGGTGCAAACATTCATATCAAACGTTCTTAATGACTTCGCTTGGTAGATTATGAACAGAAGTATCGTACCAAACGCATAATTAACTTGTTAACGCCGAAATCATGGTTTTATTTGATGTTTTCTGCTCGATAGGCCCAAAATGGGCTATCAGGCTGAAGTAGTTCTCTGTCCTAATATAATTTTTTAAAAAATTAAAAAATCATACAAACATAAACTTTTGCTATATGTGCACGTTTTGCTCTGTAGGGTGCTCATCTTTCCCGGGTCAAAGACTTTTCTAAATTATTAAAAACAATCCAAAATATAATACATTCATTTAAATCAATATGTAGTTACTAGCACAGACATGAATGAACTAAGGTAGACAGTGTTTCAATGTATTAATTGCAATTAGTACATATAAAAATGATGTCAACCTTAGGGAGGCTGTGTTGCCCCGTGTATCTCTATTTATGTAGATTAATATCAAAAACCATATTTAACATACATCATGTACCGTGCCAACACCATACTTCGCGCGCTCCTTTTTTTACTCTTTATTTGTTTCAAATTCAAAATAAATTACATTTCATTTTAACCTAGGTGCTCCAGTTACTACAGTAACTTACCAGCCTTAATTGTTATGATATATATCTAAGTGTTTTTACATTGTTCCTGCCTTGTATTTTAAACGGTTGTCTATACCTGCATGTCAGAATAACAATTGACATCTTAAAATTAAAAAAAAAAAACTAAAACTAAATCTTATCTATGTATTAAGTGAATTAATCGTTGCAATTGGGGATTGCAACGATTTTTGACTAAAATTATTAATTATTTTGTTGGACATTTGTTCTGAAGTCTCAACATTCAAAATTCTATGTACCTCGGTAGTACTGTACCAGGGAGGCAACTACAAAATCATCTTCAGAACTTTGTTCTAAATCCTTTGAAGTGCTTTTTTCTAAACTTCTAACTTCTAACTTCTAAAAGCTTATATAAATAATAAAAGTGTATTCGTCAGGCAAAGTTTGGATTTCCTGTTTACTGTTTGTTTGTTTTATAACACTGCAATAAGAGGATACAAACATTTTATATACCAATTTGTTACATTTGGCTTGAATGCCCTCAATAAGATCTTTAAAGATTAATTTTTGGTCAAGTACTAATCCAAGATATTTCACTTGGTTTGACCAGGAAATTGGAACTCTGTTCATAGTGACTATGTGACTACTACTAGGTTTCAAAAAGAAAGCTGTAGGCTTATGTGGAAATATTATAAGTTGAGTTTTGGAAGCGTTGGGAGACATCTTCCATTTTTGTAAATAAGAAGAGAAAATATCTAAACTTTTCTGCAGTCTGCTGCAAATAACACTAAGACAGCAAACAAAGTTTTGTGGCATCCCTTAGGCAAATCAGGGAGGTCCGAAGTGAAAATGTTATACAATATAGGCCCAAGAATGCTACCCTGAGGAACTCCTGCTCTAACAGGAAGTCGAACGAATTTTTATAATTTACCTTGAGAGTTCTGTCAGTTAGATAATTTTGAACTAATTTCATAATATAGAGAGGAAAATTAAACTTTTTCAATTTAGCAATCAAACCTTTATGCCAAACACTGTCCAATGCTTTTTCTATGTCTAGAAGAGCAACTCCAGGTGAGTGGCCTTCTGATTTGTTTGAACGAATGAATTTGGTAACTCTTAAGAGTTGATGAGTAGTTGAATGCCCATGGCTAAATCCTTTTCAAAAAATTTACTGATTGAAGAAAGCAAACTTATTGGACGGTAGCTAGAAGCTTCAGTTAGATTTTTATCCGGCTTTAAAATTGGAACAACTTTTGTATTTTTCTATTTATCAAGAAAGTATGTATGCCAAAATTAAACATTTTTTAAATATTTTTACCAAGAAAGACAGGGAGTTTTTTGATGAGAATATAGAAAAGTCCATTATCACCTGGAGCATTATGAAACTTTTTAGTTATAGACCTTACTTCGTCCAAATCAGTCCCCCAGGAATCATCAAAAATATTTTCCCGAGAGAAAATATTCAGATAATCCCGAGCAACCTGATTCTCAATAGGACTAGTAATACCCAAACTGAAATTATGGGAACTCTCGAATTGCTTAGCAAGTTTCTGAGCTTTTTTCCGAAGTTGTGATCAAAATTTTACCACCAAGCACTGGAATAGGCTTTTGAGGTTTTTATATAAATTCCATGGCAGGATCGCGTGTTCTTTGATACCTATTGTCTCCTACGGACATTTTGAGGACGGATCAAAGATGGAGATCGTCGTCTATTATAATTGAATCGAATTTAACCTCGCATTTTGGTACTGAGGCAGCTCTTGCTTCAACTATAGAAGTAGTCAGAGATTCAAGAGCATAATTAACATCATTTTTTGTTTGCAAAGGAATGTTTGGATCTAAGCTATATTCCATAAATGTTCGATATTGCTCCCAATCAGCTCTATGGTAATTGAAAGTAGAGCTGTTAGGATTAGAAATTATTTCTTGATATCTTTCAAAAGTTACGGAAAGGTGATCAGAACCGAAGTCAGCAAGGGTAATTAATTGACTACAAAGTTGACATGAATCAGCTAAGACCAAATCAATAATTGAGGGATTTCTTGCAGAAGAAAAGCATGTTGGGCTGTTTGGATATTGAATAGTGTAATAACCTTCAGAACAATCATCAAACAGAATATTACCATTGGAATTGTTTTGAGCATTATTCCATGAGCGGTTTTTGCATTAAAATCACCAATAATGAAGAATTTGGACATATGACGGGTAAGTTTCTGAAGGTCACCCTTGAGAAAATTCTTTTGCTGGCCTACGCATTGGAATGGCAAATAGGCAGCTATAAGTTGTCCTAAGTTGTCCAAATTTTGTTTCAGCAGAAACTCCCAAAGTTTCAAAAACTTTGGTTTCAAATGAAGAAAGAATTTTATGTTTATGTTGTTTTATGTTATGTGTCTATGAACAATGATGGTAACGCCACCACAGGCTCAATCAAGACGATCATTTATACAAATGAAATAATTTGCGTCCCCTTAACCTTATGGCCAGGTTTAAGGAATGTTTCAGTTATAAGGGCAATGCACGTTATGAACTCTCAAAAAGTTGAATAGCTTGTCTTCATTATCTTAAAGGGATCGAGCATTCCAATTTAAAATATTTAATGATTTAAAATCCATTACTGAATTTCAAAGTCATTGCTATATTGTTCGCAAATTTTACTCCAGTTTGAATGGCATCAAACATGGAGTTAGATTTAAGCATATCATGTCAATTAATGATTTCTGTAAAAATTCCATTTTAGGAGCAGTAATGCTTCCTAAGTCAAAATTTTCAAAATTTCCGTTACAATTACGATGGCTAGTATTTTGATATCTACCTGCTGCAATAGCAGCATAGGTAGCTCCATTTACTAGCTGAACATTGTTATTAGCGCGGGGAGGGGAGGGGTATAGATGAAGAATTTGAAGCAGGGGTAATATTTGTACCTACGGGTACGAATGTAGAATTTGTTCCTCGTTGACCGTTGTTAACAGCAGAGTATTTTGTACCTGGTTGGAAACGTGGAGCTTTTTCTACCTGCCACTAAGAACGAGATTGTAGAATCGCTTTGCGAGTCTTACATTCCAAAAAATTGGATTTGTGGTTTTCACCAACACACAACTCCAAGTAATTTTGCCAGTTCATCTTTGATCTGATCCAGGGATTCACCACTGGGCAGTCCTTTCATGAGAACCTTGAACACACGTTCAGTTTTGGCGTCGTAAATAAAAAAATGCTGCTTCTCAGTAAGATACTTTAGAAGACATTCAAATCCGTCCAAGGTTTCAGCCAATACACGGCATTCACCGCGACGCCCAATTTGTAGTGAAAACTTAAATTTCACGAAGTTCAAAAGTTCCATGCGAAGAGCATGGAAATCGGAAGTGGATAAGAGGGAATCTTTTCCTGCTTGGCATTAAGCCGAGAAAGTTTACTAGAATTTTTCCTGGATGATGGATCATTCTCATCATCCGTGAGCAAATCAAATGGATTGCTTAAATTAATTTCATAAGAACGGGGATCAAGAGATTGCCCTTTTCTTTTGCGTTTAGGCGCCATGGCGGCAGTAAATTTTTTATCCAAATCGACTTCCAAGCAGATTACTATAAGAATCTGAAGGATCGAAGAGGAATTTTCCAAATCGATATCCAAGAAGGATTACCTCGGGTAGGGTCCAAACAAGGATCGAAGAGGAATAAGAGGTAGAAATTTTACAGGTTGAGCACTGTTTAAATTTGTTGTAGCTTTAGGTAGTAGTAACACTTCCTTCAGCAAAAAGCAAATAGATCCGCACGGTAAGAGAGCACGATGCGGACTGATTGCGCGCTCCTAACTCTTCGCAGTCAATCCCCCACAATGTATAACCATTGTAGTTCAAAATCAAGAGTATAGATAGAAAAATCATGAGTGCGCAATCAATAGTAGCTGCGCAAAGTATGGTGCCATCACAGCATTACTCATTTCAGCCATTTTAAGTCTATCGTTTATTTTCTGAAACCGTTTTGCTCCCCTTTTTTTTATTCATTATTTGGGGCCAAGCATCCAGAAATTATCATAATAATAGCACGACCTAAGCCATGGTATACGGTAAAATGCAGACGGATTAATGCTACTGAGAAAATGACCGTCAATCGTGCAAGAGATGGGATAATTAGTCAAGCATTATTTATGTGCGTATTCAAGAAAGACCAACATAAAAATAAAATACAACATGCTCTTTCGTTCTCCATTTACCTTGCTTGATGCGGCATTCGGCTTTCGCTTTCTATCTCTCTCCTTATCATTCTTCGTTAGATCTTCGGCCGCGGACTTCCTTTCTTCAGTTTTTTGTCGGTCTGATATTTCGGAAAAGCCATACAGTGTGGTGTACGAGTAATGTCATCGCCGGCGTATCAGGTTGAAGCAGCAGGCCAAATTATAAAAAAGAACAATAAAACAAGCACAAGTTAATATTTGTTTCTGTATTAAATGCTCAACTTATGGTTTAGCAAAATTCGAGCATGCATTTAAGTTTCTACTTGACATGTGCAGGTTGGAATTCCGACACATAGGAAAATGAAACAAATTAAACATGAATTTTTCAATAATATAATTGCTTTCTGTTAAGATAAAGGTCACACAAATAATAATAATAAAAAAACTAGATCTGTTCTCTTAACTAGGTAAACAAACAGTTAACACTTACATTTCAACTCAATCTCCTCATCATCCAGTAGGAGAGAAACAACTTCTTTCGGTTTTAAAGTATCTGGTTTGAAGTTTCCACCACTGATTACCATTCTTTGAATCTAGAATTAAAGAATAAATATACATTGCTTTATCTAAACACTATGTCTTTCTCGGGTTCAATTGAAATGTAGTATACGGTCATCAATTATATTATTAACCCTTTGTCTGTACCGTAAAACGGGGCGAATAGAAATAGTGAGGCGAAAAGGAACAAAACTTCCCTCCTTTAAAAATATTACTAATATGCTGAGATTATTTTGAAAAACCCGAATTTATCCACCTATGGTGTGATCAGACCCTTCTTACTTATTCAAGTTTATTTATTTTATTGTCATTATCAGTGACCAAGCCCCCCACCCCCGTGTCATCCAGTGACGCTACGCCACTGCCTGGGGGTACCCGGAATATATCCGCGTGTAGTCTATTTGGTGAGGCTACCAAGCACCTTATCATCGTATTTTAATGTGATTTAATGGGTTTTAATTCAATTCATATTCAAGCAACTTCCCCGGGGTACCCGGAACATGTCCAAGTGTGTCCAATGTGGTCTGGAACACTTAACACGACTTGCATTGATCTTATTTTTGAATTCTGTAGTAATTTGATGTGTCGCATGATGGTTTTGATACGTTTTCCGTTAAATCCAGCGTGAAGGCCCATATTCACCGGATCTTATTCCGGCCATATCTCCGGAACCGGTTCACCGATTCCAAAACCGTTCAATAGCGTTCAATATGACCCCAAGAGCTATCATTTGGCGCCGAGTTTGTCCAAAGCGGTTGAGCGGTTGCTGAGAAACGTGAGCGCATTCATTTCGTTACATACACACACACATACACACATACACACGTACACACATACACACGTACACACATGCACACGTACACACATACACACGTACACACATACACGCACACATAGACATGTTCCGATCTCGTCGAGCTGAGTCGAATGGTATATGATGGTTTTGATACGTTTTCCGTTAAATCCAGCGGCCAGCACACACATACACACACACACACACACACACACACACACACACACACACACACACACACACACACACACACACACACACACACACACACACACGCAAGCACACACACACACACTCACACACACACACACACACACACACACACACACACACACACACACACACACACATACACACACACACACATACACACACACACACACACACACACACACACACTGGGCTACAAATGGTGAATTGACAACCTGGGAAGAGCGTTTTTCCTATCTCTGGTCCTCACAAGTTCCTACCTCACACCTCCCCGTGGTGTAGCCTGGGCAATGTTGTCCTTCTGACAATAGCAAAGTGAGGGGGTGCGACGCGAACACTGGCGCGGTAACCATAACACGGCGATCGAGGAAATGCTTCGTCAACCCGCAGGAGTGCCAACCGGCACATTAGGATCGACGCCAGTAAGATCCTTATTATGGCATACTGGATACGGCATGGAACTATGGACACGACACGGTACAATGGATTGGATACCACGCTACAGGGCTGACAGTCGTGCTATTCTGCTCCCTAAGTAAAGAAGGGTGACACCTTCTTGAAATGGCGAGTGGGCTAATAGTGCGGCTGCCCCCGTCCCGGTAAAACCTTGGCAGGCCTCCGGATACGTTCAAAACTCGTCACCAATTGGTGATTGGTGAGTAGTAGACTCAGATGTAACATTCCTGACTTACGCCGATCTGGCTCTGAACACGGCCCCCATGAAGGACCGTGTCAACCCTAGCATGGCCTCCCTGCTTGCATAGATAACAATGGGATCACGATAGGCGACTACATACAACGAGTGGAGATAGCGGCCCGGAGGGGGGACCCAACAGAATGGAGAAAAACGGAGAAAAAAACAAAAAAGAAGAAAATGAGAAAACCCAAAAAAATATGAAGGACGACGGCAAGACGCCAGAAATTGAAAACGGAGGAGCGAACGTGTTCGCAAGGAGCGGGATATTGCAGAGATCACCAGTGTTGAACCTGGAGGCAACAGCGAGTTCCAACAGCAGCAGTAAGCCCCAAGGTGAGCAGCAAGGACACCAAGGAGAGCTAGGTCTTATGCTAAGCCAGGTGTTCACACCGAAATCCAGCAGTAGCACACCCCAAGAAGGATTGCAGCTTGGGAAGACCAAATTGATGGAGGTCAGGAGGAGGATCAATGAACTCCATGACTTCATCAAGGATAAGAGCAACGTCCACAAGGCAATAAAGGAAATGGTGACGGGCATCAAATCCGCCATTATTGCTGCCGAACGTGAACAGGATGCGCTGAGGACGAGGTCCGTAACTGCCGAAAGGGCACTGATCGAGGCCAAGGAGAAAGCAGCAGCTGAAATACAGGAGACGCCAAAGGGACCTCGAAATCCACGCTCGGAGAAGAGGAAAAGGGAAACTCCAGGAGAGGAAGAGGAGTTGAAAAAAGTCAAGAACGACAAGGAAGACAACAAGGAGGAAGGCTGGCGTACCGTCGAGAAGCCAAAGGAGAAGTGGAAAAAACGGAAGGAAAAAGACATGAAGAAGAAAGCTGAACAGAAGAAGGTGATACCCAGGACTCGTCGGGAGCGAAGTAAGGGCGATGCTCTGATCGTCGAAGCTAAGGACATGCAGCACTCCTCCGGAAGGTACGAGAGGATCCGGAGTTGAAGCAACTAGGAGAGAACGTGGTGAAAACCAGGCGAACCCAGAAAGGCGAGATCCTCTTTGAGCTGAAGAAGGATCCTGCTATCAAGAGCTCAGCCTTCAAGGAGCTCGTCGAAAAGTCTCTTGGCGAAGGGGCGAGCGTAAGAGCTCTATCCCAGGAGACAGTGGTCGAGTGCAGGGACCTGGACGAGATCACCACAGAAGAGGAGCTAAGAAGTGCGTTGAGAGTGAACTGCGATCTGGGAGATGTCCCAATGTAAATCCGCATGAGGAAGGCGTACGGCGGCATGCAAACGGCGGTTATACGGCTTTCGACAGCTGCAGCGAATAAGCTGTTGGAGACGGGCAAGGTCAAGGTTGGCTGGTCATTGTGCTCGCTGAAAGCCACTCCTCGGGTTACCAAGCAATTGGAGCGATGCTTCAAGTGCATGGGATTCGGTCACCAGGCGAGGAACTGCAATGGCCCTGACAGATCTGATCTGTGCAGGAAATGCGGAGAGAAAGGCCATATTGCAAGAGGCTGCACGAAGCATCCGAGGTGTATGCTCTGCAAAAAAGAGGACGGTAACGATCATACGACGGGAGGCTTAAAATGCCTAGCATACAAAAAGGCGATGGCAGGCCAACAGTAATGGAGGTAACCCAAATAAACCTCAATCATTGCGACATTGCTCAGCAACTGTTGTGGCAGTCGACAACAGAAACAAAGTGCGACGTTGCAATCATTGCGGAACCGTATCGAGTCCCTCCCGATAACGGTAACTGGGTTGCGGATAGAGCTGGGATGGCAGCTATACAAGTTATGGGCAGATACCCCATTCAAGAAGTGGTTGCGAGCTCATACGAAGGCTTCGTCATCGCCAAAATCAACGGAATCTTCATGTGTAGTTGTTACGCACTCCCCAGATGGACGATTGAGAAGTTCTACGAGATGCTTGATGGACTTACCGAAGAGCTGGTCGGACGACGACCGGTAGTCATCGGAGGAGACTTCAATGCTTGGGCAGTGGAGTGGGGAAGCAGGTGTTCCAATGCAAGAGGGCACAGTCTGCTGGAAGCTCTGGCAAAACTGGAAGTTATGCTGGCCAATAAAGGCACCAGCAGCACTTTTCGCAGAGATGGCCGAGAATCCATTATCGACGTTACTTTCTGCAGTCCGTCGCTGATGGCAAACATGGATTGGAGAGTGTGCGAAGGATATACCCATAGCGACCATCAGGCGATACGATATGGCATCGGTCAACGGAATACTGTGGCAGTACGGAGGACGAGAACTTGTGACCGAAAGTGGAAGACGAAAGCTTTCGACAAGGATTTGTTCGTTGAGGCACTTCGTGTGGACGGGAGTCCCGTAGATCTAAATGCGGACGAGCTGACAGAAACGTTAGTGAGAGCATGTGACACGACCATGCCGAGGAAACTGGAGCCAAATAACAGACGGCGTCCAGTCTACTGGTGGAACGAGGCACTTAGTACTCTCCGCGCTAGTTGTCTCAGAGCCAGAAGACGTGTTCAGAGAGCAAGAACGGAAGCAGACAGAGAGGAACGAAGAGAAGTGTTTCGAGCGGCCAGGGCCGCTTTTAAACGAGTGATTAAGCAGAGCAAGTCGAACTGTTTTAAGGAGCTGTGTCAAGACGCTGATGCCAACCCCTGGGGCGACGCATACCGAGTCGTGATGGCGAAGATCAGAGGTCCAACGATGCCCGCTGAAATGTGCCCAGAGAAGCTGAAAGGCATCGTGGAAGGACTTTTCCCGAAGCACGACCCAACAACCTGGCCACCTACACCGTACGGAGAAAGAGAGGGAGATAACGTCGAAATCACCAACGAGGAGCTCGTAGTAGTGGCGAAAGGATTGAAGGTGAAGAAAGCTCCCGGTCCGGATGGAATCCCCAACGTAGCGTTGAAAGCGGCGATCCAGTCATCCCCGGACATGTTCAGGATGGTGCTGCAGAAATGCCTGAACGAGGGTCACTTCCCTGACAGGTGGAAGATACAGAAGCTAGTGTTGCTGCCGAAACCAGGAAAACCGCCGGGGGATCCAGCATCATACAGGCCTATATGCCTGCTGGATACACTCGGAAAACTCTTGGAGAGGATCATCCTAAACAGGCTGACGAAATACACGGAGAGTGAGCATGGATTGTCGGAGAGGCAGTTCGGATTCCGGAAAGGGAGATCGACGGTGGATGCAATTCGGACAGTGGTCGAGAGAGCTGAAAAGGCGTCCAAACAGAAGCGGAGAGGAGATCGATATTGCGCCGTCATAACGATCGACGTCAAGAATGCGTTCAACAGCGCCAGCTGGGAGGCCATCGCCGAAGCACTGCATAGAATGAGGGTCCCTGACTACCTGTGCAGGATCCTGAGGAGTTATTTCCAGAA